CCTCCTGAATTTGATGAAGCCATTGAAATCGACACTCCTTCTATGGAGTGGGTCCATGGTCGAACTCCTCATTTGAAGCTACCGAGAACAAAAGACGTGCTTGTAAATGGACACACAGTGAAGGTGAAATTCTGTGACACGTGTTTGCTCTATCGTCCTCCTCGAGCATCTCATTGCTCCATCTGCAACAACTGTGTTCAAAAATTTGATCATCATTGCCCGTGGGTTGGTCAGTGCATCGGTATAGTAAGTGTTTTTAACTGTTCTGACATTCTTTTGGTGTTATGATGATTGCTAAATAAGCCCAGTTTGTTATTATCTGCCTTTCCTTAATATGGTTATCGGCAATTATGTTGGCCATTTGTTTGCATTGTTGCTCGGCTTGCTTACGTTTCATCAAAAGTCTTCTTATGGACTTTTATTTTTTCTATCAATTTATTAGAGATAATTACAATCACCGTCCTTGAGGTTTATCTTAGTTATAGAGTACTCAATTGTTTGTTATACTTTTTCTTTTGGCAAGTACACTAAACTTCAGAGTTACTTTAAGAATTATCCAATTTATAGTTCAGTTTCCACCTCATTTTGTGATTCTTTGAATATTTGAACGGCTTAATCCTTGAACCGGAGAAATAATTGTAACTTATCATGTGATTTAGTGGGGATTACTTGTTAATGTTGATAATTTATGCTTGTTTAAAAAAATTTGCGGTGCAAGATCATGTAGAGTGTCTTTCTCGTCTATGCAATTGATGATTTGCATTTATCAGTTTCCTTGTAAAGCTGACAAAATCATGTTTATTTTTTATTTTTTTGGTTGTTTTTGTGCAGCGAAATTACAGGTTCTTCTACATGTTCATAACAACATCAACAATACTGTGCCTTTATGTTTTCGTTGTCTCATTTTACAACATCGTCCACTGCAATGGTAGTGTTTGGAAAGCCATGTCACATGATTATTTGTCAGATGTCCTCGTTGTGTACTGCTTCATTTCTTTCTGGTTCGTGGGTGGCCTCACAGTTTTCCACTTCTACTTGATTAGCACAAACCAGGTGAGTTTAAAAAAACATATGATCTTTTTACTATTAAAAAAACATGATAACAGTTTAAAATCGATCGTTACTAAAATTAGGGAGTAAAAAACTTAAAAAGTACAGTTTTTCTTCTCATTAATCCAGTTACACATAGATCTTCCGAAAAATATAGTGCATCTTATAATTACTTTATTTTTTTAAATGCAGACAACATACGAGAACTTTCGATACCGATATGATGTAAAGGACAACCCGTACAACAGGGGGACGATCAACAACTTCAAAGAAGTTTTCTTTTCCAAAATCCCGCGCTCGTTGCACGATTTTCGCGCAATAGCCGAAGAAGAAGATGAAAGCATGGCAGTAAATCGCGATTTCACGGTGGATACTAATTTGACGAGCTCGAAAGAGAAAATCGATATCGAGATGGGTGGCATTTTTTCGGACAACAGTAGTCTCACGCTTCCCGATATTCTGCGTAATTTGGAGTACGATGGGATAGAGGAGAGTGTGAAGCAAAGGGAAGGTAGTGAGAGATCTTATTCGGGCCAAGAAGATATTGTTCGGGTCGAACGAGAGCTG